AGGGTGACTGGCAGGAGTACAGCTTTTCCTTTTTGTATGTCCATCACAGGGATGTAAGAGGTCAGTCTACTGCTGACAGCATTCATCAGTGTTTGGACTCCACCACACCAGGGCTCCCAGACCTGGGCTCCAGCGGGGTATGAGCCCAGAGGGGGCCCTTCCTCTCCTGTGACTTCGGGTTTCTTTCAGGCCACCGGCAGGCCACTGTCATGATGGTGGCTTCCTTACCCTCCCTCCCATCCAGTTCCCTGTAGAGAGATCTGGTGAGCCCCACAGATGTGGATACATGCTGAGGATGGACACACAACCTTGTGCATGTGTGTGTGTGTACAAAAGCAGAGTGTACAAACACAGAGCCTGGAAGCAATTTATGCCTGTGCATAAACCTCCAGCAATGCACTGCAGTCCCAGAGGGCTCTTGGACATTAGACTCAAGCACAGAGATGCTCCTTCTCCTGTGCATTCAAAGACATGAGTGTCTTTGGGAGCCAAGGTGGAAGGATTGCTTGAACCCAGGTGTTCAAGATCAGCTTGGGCAACATAGCAAGGCCTCATCTCTATAAAAAATATAAAAATAAAAATAAAAAAATCAGCTGGGCATAGTGGCACATGCCTGTAGACCCAGCTACTTGAGAGGCTGAGGCTAGAGGATCACCTGAGCCTAGGAGGTCAAGGCTGTGGTGAGCTGTGATTGTGCCACTGCACTCTAGCCTGGGTGACAGAGTGAGACCCTGACACAAACAGAAAGGAAGCAAGGAAGGAAGAAAAAGAAAGAAAACACGAGCATATGCACATACACTCTGGCCAACAGCATACAGACAAGGTCCATGGGGACAAATCCACTCCCGACCTGCATGTTTCCAGCCTGTGTGCCACAGAACCAAGGAGGAGAGAGGGGCCAGTTCTTGCACAAAGAAGGCCCAGGGGGGGATTTGCAGGGGGCATGGTGGACTGTGCGGGAGCCGCCCTACATCCCTGGGCCCTGTGGAGGGTGCTGAGCTCCGCCCCTTCCCCTGGCTCCAGAGTTGGGCACTGGCGCCCCGGGCCTCCGCTCACCCCAGTCTGGGAAGTCCCGGGTGTTGCAGTATTTCTCCCCGTGGGGCAATGGGTACAGGTAGTGGCCGCAGCTGCAGTTGCGGATCATGTGGTCTTGGAAGCAGGAGCGAAGACAGGCCTGGGGATGGGGCATGGACACAGGCACAGCTGGAGATGCTCCCACCCCAGCACTGTGGGAAGGAGCCCAGACAGGTGACGCCCAGGCCAAGAGAGAGGTGGCCCCGGGTGGAGAAGCCATGATGAGATGCCTGGATAAACCCTGCAGTCAGGATGTGGCTTGCAGCAGGTCCCCGGACCCCATAGAAGGGCTCACGCCAGACCCCAGCAGCCTGAGTCTCATTGTTCTGAGCTGGGGCCCGCATGGGTGAGCATGGGACATGGTGGCTTGCCCCAGATAATAAAGCCCAGAGGATGCCAGCACCCTCCTGTGTTCCTGACATCTCTGGACCCAGAGGGGCAGCCAGCAGGACAGGCAAGCTTGCTCTGCGCCCCCTCCTTCTACAGGGAGACACCCTGGGAAGGCAGGAAGGATGGTCTCTGATTATCCTGACACACGGCTGATGACAGAGCATCCCCTGGGGGTGAGGGGAGAAAGAAGAGGAGACTTAGGTAGCCCCTGGGGGCAGGGTGTGGTGAGTCCCCACTCACTTGGCCCCCAAGTTGCCCAGGCTGATCTTGAGCCCCTGGGTTCAGGCAGTCCTCTCGCCTCTGCTTCCCAAAGTGCTGGGACTTTCAGGTCATTCTGACTAGGTTTCAGTCCACTCAGAGACCAACTGTGTGTCCCGGGGCCAGTCCTTAACCTCTGAGCTTCAGCTTACTCATGGGGGAAAAAATGATCATCACACCAGTCTCCTGAGGTCAGGAGGATTCAGTGTGGTGTCAATGCTCAGGAAGCACTGATGGATGGAGTCTCTGTTACTCCTGTTTCTTTGCCCGTCCAGTTTCCTGAGACCTGACGACCCTGCACTCCTTGCTCCAGCCTCCCTTGCTGGCTCCTCTGCCTCTCTCCACTCAGCCCCAGCTCTCCACACCAGCATCCCTGAGTCCTCCTCTCCTGCTCCTCCTGCAGGCTCCTTCTCAGGCTAACAAGTCCTGCCCTTCTATTTCCCTCGTGGGGTCTGTGGGCTCCCGAGGGCAGGAAATGGGGGCTGGCTGGCCAATTAGATGGCATGGCCAGGAGGAGCCAGAATTGGGGCTGAGGGAGGCAGTGGGGTCAGAGGAGAAGCTCTGTCTTATATTCTTTTTTATTTTTTAAGAGGCAGGGTAGCCGGGCACGGTGGCTCACGCCTGTAATCCCAGCACTCTGGGAGGCAGAGGCGAGAGGACTGCCTGAGCCCAGGGGCTCAAGATCAGCCTGGGCAACTTGGTGAGACCTCATCTCTACAGTACATTTTTTTAAAAAAGCTGGGTGTGGTGACGCACGCCTGTGGTTCCAGCTACTTGGAAGGCTGAGGTGGAAGGATCGCTTGAACCCGGCAGGTGGAGGCTGCAGTGGCTGTGAGTGTGCCACTGCACTCCAGCCTAGGAGACAGAGACCCCAAATAAAAAAAAAAAAAGAAAAAAAAGATAGAGTCTCACTCTGTGGTTCAGGCAATCATAGCTCACTATAGCCTTGAACTGGGTCCAAGTGATCCTCCTGCTTCAGCCTCCTAAGTAGCTGTGACTACAGGCATGAGCCACTGCACCTGGCTAATTTAAAAAAATTTTTGTAGTGACGGGGGTCTTGCAATGTTGCCCAGGCTGGTCTCAAACTCCAGGATTCAAGTATTCTCCTGCTGCAGCCTCCTAAGTAGCTTGGGACTACAGGTGCGTGCCATCACACTGGCAGACCTTGCTGTCTCATCTGGAAAGCAGGAGCCCTCCCCAGGTTCTGTGACCAGGGCTGGGGTGGCCCAGGCCTGCTCCTGCCTGAAAGTAGTCAGAGCTCCTGGCTAGTGTCTGGCTCTTTGCTGAGGTTTCCGGCCTGCGTGGCTACTGTCCTGGAAGAAGCAAGAGTAGCAGCTTCCCCGGAAGGAGGTCTTTGGGGCTGAGGCCTCCTTCTCCATGGTTCCCATCTCCCTGTGGTGCCCAGTGTGTCTGTCTATCCCTCCAGTGGCTCTGAAGATCCCCAGAGTTTCTCATGGCAGATAGAAGCCCCTTCAGATGGGAGGTGGCCAAATCAACCAGGCAGTAGGCAGGCAGGCACCAGGAGGGACAATCTATTGTGACTAAGGCAAAAGGGAAAACCCTGCCAAGCTTGGGGCTTCCGGACAGGGAGGCAGGCACTGGACTATCCCCTTGTTATGCCTCAGTTTCCTTATCTGCCAAGAAGATTCGTCTGAGAGAGGAAGTGTCAGCGAGAGGTCACTTTTGCCATCTTTGCAAAGGATTCACTCTGCCCTCTCCAGTGAGACTGGGTCTGGGGACAGGTCTAGGCTGATCCTGGAGATCAGAACAAGAGGGACACCCTAGCCAGGAGTGGTGGCTCATGCCTGTAACGCCAGCCTTTTGGGAGGCTGAGGTGGGAGGATTACTTGAGACTGGGAGTCTAAGACCAGCCTGGGCAACATAAGGAGACCCCATCTCTTTTTAAAAAAAAGAAAGACAATTATATACACACACAAAGGCCCCAGCTACAGCAAGTAGGATTGAAGGCAGATATAAAGAGGGACTTCTCAGGTAAATTGATGAGGTGTTTAGACTAGGCTCTGTAGATCCCAGTGTCTTCATTCTTAAAATGGAAATGTAATAGTATCTGCATCTTAGGGTTGTTATGAGGACTAAATGATTTAATAATATAAATAACTTCCAACAGTGCCTGCCTAGCACATTCACCTGTTATTATTAGTATATCAGTATATGCTGCTCTTATTAATATACTACTGCCTCGTGGTGGGGGTTGAAGGGATCAGATGATAATGTGGGACTCCCTAGTGTGACCTAAACTTTGTTTTCCTCTTGGAAGACCCCTGAATGAGAGCCCTATAATCCTGGGTGGCTCCCAGGGCACACCTGTGCTCTTGGGGACAAGAGGTGGCCAGCCCTGGGCCCTGGTGAGAAGCCAGGGATGGTACTGGTTCCACAGTCCTCAGGGTGCCCCATGGCCACCTCCAAAAGTCAGTAGAGCCAGCCTCGCCAGGGCCCTGTAGGGGTGGCCAGAGGCCCCACGGCCACAGGGCCTGCACCGTCTTCCCACCTGGATGGAATAGGTCGTGTTGTAGTCGCTGTAGAAGTTTTGGATGGGGACGTCGGAGCCGTTCACGGTGCACGGGCTGTAGGGCTCGCCCATGCGCTGCAGCTTGTCCTGTGTTCAGAGGGGTTGCTGGAGGCGCCCCGGCCACCCCCTCCCAGCCCCCTCTTGCTCTTCCTCCCACATCAGCCACGCGGGAACTGGGGATGGAGAGCTGGAGGTCCCAGCAGGCGCCAGAGGGGGCGCCAGAGGGCC